TTCATCTGATTAACATTAATAAATCATCTTTATATTTACCGACTATTTAAAGGGTATTAGATAATTAATTGTAAATAATTATTTAGAGATAAGTATTTATTAATAAGTATTTATGTTTAAGTTTATAATTCTACTGATTAATGTTAATAAATCATCTTTATACTCACAGACTATGTATTGGTTAATTAATTGTTAATAAGTATTTATGGATAAATATTTATGAGTAAGTATTTATTTTTATAATTTTAATTCTACTGATTAATGTTAATAAATCATTTTTATACTCACTTACTGAATGAAATGATTTGAAGGGTATTAGGTAATTAATTGTAAATAAGTATTTAGAGATAATATTTATGAATAAAATTTATGTTTATGATTTTAATTACATTAATTAACGTAATAAATCATTTTTATACTCACAAACTAAATTAATACGAATAAGATGATTTGAAGGGTAATTAATTATATATAAGTATTTATTAATAAGTATTTATGTTTATGATTTTAATTCCACCAATTAATGTTAATAAATCATCTTTATACTCACAGACTATATATTAGGTAATTAATTGTTAATAAGTATTTAGAGATAGGGATTTATGAATAAGTATTTATGATTATAATTTTAATTCCACTGATTAACGTTAATAAATCATCTTTAAACTCACAAACTAAATTAATGTGTTAGAGATAATTATAATAAATAAGTATTGATGTTCATGATTTTAATTCCATTGATTAACGTTAATAAATCATCTTTATACTTACCGACTATTTGAAAAGTATTAGGTAATTAATTGTAAATAAGTATTTAGAAATAAGTATTGATGAATAAGTATTTATATTCATGATTTAATTCCACTGATTAACGTTAATAAATCATCTTTATACTCACTAACTAAATGAAATGATTTGAAAGGCATTAGATAATTAATTGTAAATAAGTATTAGAGATAAGTATTTATGTTTATGATTTTAATTCTACTGATTAATGTTAATAAATCATTTTTATACTCACTAACTGAATGAAATAATTGAAGAGTATTAGATAATTAATTGCAAATAAGTATTTAGATAAGTATTTATGAATAAGTATTTATGTTCATGATTTTAATTCTATTGATTAACGTTAGGGAAGGCCAGAAAATACGTGTTTTCTTTTGGGGAGAAGGGGTCTTTTCAAAAAACACGTATATATATATAAATGAATAGAAAAAAAACCTAGGGAGAAGAGAGTAATTTTGAAAAATAAATAACACATGTTTTCTGGCTCTCCCCTTAATAAATAATCTTTATACTCACTTACTGAATGAAATGATTTGAAGGTAATTAATTGTATATAAGTATTTATAAATAAATATTTATTTTTATGATTCTAATTCTACTAATTAACGTTAATAAATCATCTTTATACTCACTTACTGAATGAAATAGTATTAGGTAATTAATAGTATTTATGAATAAGTATTTATGTTCATGATTTAAATTCCACTGATTAGCGCTAATAAATCATCTTTATACTCACTCACTGAATGAAACGATTTGAAGTGTATTAGGTAATTATGATAATTAATTATAAATAAGTATTTAGAGACAAGTATTTATGAATAAATATTTATGTTCATAATTAATAAATCATCTTTATACTCACTTACTGAATAAAATGATTTGAAAAATATTAGGTAATTAATTGTAAATAAGTATTTAGAGATAGATATTTATGAATAAGTATTTATGTTCATGATTTAATTCCACTAATTAATATTGATAAATCATCTTTATACTCACTCACTGAATAAAATAATTTGAAGGGTATTAGATAATCATTGTAAATAAGTATTTATAAATAGGTATTTATGTTTATGATTTAATTCCACTAGTTAACGTTAATAAATCATCTTTATACTCACTTACTGAATAAAATAATTTAAAGAGTATTGGGTAATTAATTGCAATTAAGTATTTAGAGATAAGTATTTATGTTTATAATTTAATTCCACTGATTAATGTTAATAAATCATCTTTATACTCACCAACTATTTGAAGGGTATTATATAATTAATTGTAATTAAGTATTTAGAGATAAGCATTTAAGTATTTATGTTCATGATTTTAATTCCACTGATTAACTTTAATAAATCATTTTTGTACTCACGCACTATTTGAAGGATATTAGTTAATTGTAAATAAGTATTTAGAGATAAGTAAGTATTTATGATTATGATTTAATTCCACTAATTAACGTTAATAAATTATCTTATACTCACAAACTATTTGAAGTATATTAGATAATTAATTGTAAATAAGTATTTAGAGATAAGTTGTTCATGGTTTTAATTCCATTGATTACCGTTATAAATCATCTTTATACTCACAGACTATTTGAAGGATATTAGGTAATTAATTGTAAATAGGTATTTAGAAAGATAAGTATTTATGATGATTTTAATTCCACTAATTAACGTTAATAAATCATCTTTATACTCACTAACTGAATGAAATGATTTGAGGGGTATTAAATAATTAATTGTAAATAAGTATTTGAAGATAAGTATTTATGATTTTAATTCCAATGATTAGCGTTAATAAATTATCTTTATACTCACCGACTAAATTAATGCGAATGAAATTATTTGAAAGTATTAGGTAATTAATTATAAATATGTATTTATAGATAAGTATTTATGAATAAGTATTTATGTTCATGATTTTAATTCCACTGATTAACGTTAATAAATTATTTTTATACTCACAGGCTATTTGAAGGGTATTAGGTAATTAAGTATTTAGAGATAATTTATGACTAGCTATTTATTGTAATGTTCATGTTAACAAATCATCTTTATACTCACGTACTATTTGAAGGGCATTAGATAATTATTTGTAGATAAGTATTTAGAGATAAGTAGTTATGACTAACTACTTATCGTTATGTTCATGATTTAATTCAACTGATTCTTTATAATACTCACGGGCTAAATTACATAAGCCAATAAAATAAATATTTAAAACTTGAATTGCAGAATTAAATATGTATAATGGTTTTATTACTTACTCCCTAATAATTGAAGTTGTATGAGTGACATTTAAATTACAAAAGGTTATAGCAGAAATTACAATTATTTTATTATTTTACTTTGCTATCCATTCAGAAAATTTATTTTTATTCTGCTTCACACCAATTCCATAATAGTAACAAATGGCAGTTTTAAAGATTCCGTTAAAGTTATTCATTTCAGCTGATTTTAAGTAATGCTCAAATGCTTTATGTTTATTCATTTCAACACCGATACCATTATAATAACAAAAGCCAACTTGAAATATTCCATTAGAATCATTCATATCTGCTGATTTTTGATAGTGTGTAAATGCTTTATTCTTATCCTTTTCAACATCAATTCCATGTTCATAACAATAACCGAGCATGAATATTCCATCAGAATATTCTTTATCTGCCGATTTTTTACAGTTAACAAAGCTTAATTGATTAAAATTGCCGATGAGTTGAGCAATACTATCTGAAGACTGTTCTGCCATTTTAAGATAGAAAAAAAAAAATTTAACGAAATTTTTATTGTTACAACATTTGTCTTAACTATTTATGTAATTAATATATCCTAAATTTCTTTTTAATCTGATTACAAAATTAGATGTAAAAAAATTCTGACAAATAATTGGTAATTATTTTTAAATCCGAACCAATCCTATAATTCTACTCAATAAAATTATATTACATTAATTGGTGAAATTTATTACCCAATATTTGAGATGCTGTGAACGAAGTCCATTTATCACGAGCTCATGACCTTTACCCCTGACACGAACTACCATTAGCGATTATAGTATGAGAAGAAAAAAATTGTTTCCTCCTTTTTAGTCTCAATGCAAGTCCAGTTTTGTCGAAATTTCCACCACCCAACGCTAGGAAGATAATGGTCGAAATGATGATAACCTAATCAGAAGGTCAAATATCATAGCCCAGCTGAACTAAAAGAGGAAAGATGATTATGAACCAGCTGGTGATCACGTGAGCAGCAAGAAAAAATCATACTAGTTTTATGATCGAGTGAAATAAAAATTTATTAGATCCTTCCTAAGTAAAATTTCTGAAATTTCCAAGGATAATTTCTAAGTAATCTATAAGAGTTTAAAAGCCTTTAAACAGGTTTTTTGAGATAACTTGCTGAGATTTAGTCTGCTATGAACAACTTTACTTAGTAGCCCAAAGATAGTTTGCTTAATTGAATTGAAAAATAGACAAATGTTTTTTAGAAGTTTTGAATTTGCATTTTAAAATATTTTGTAATTACAAGATATATTTCTTATTCATATCACTAAATATTAAATAGTTTATTTATTAAGATTACTTTGTTAAATATTTATTTTACAAGATGTTCCTACTAGATAATATATAGTATATAAAAATTCCATCTTATTCAAACTAAGCAATTATTTCTATACTGTTAACATGTCAAAGTCACTTGTTAGTATTCTTATTGGTGTTAGTGACCAAATATAAATAGATTCATAAATTCTTATAATTGCTTATTTCGTTAGTGAAAAAAAAAAGAGTAGATAAAGTGATCTAAAAAACAAATAAAAAACACTTTTATATTGCCACTAATTAACTCAAAGATAAATGTAATGATCGAATAACCGAGTTACGTGGCCTTCAGCCACGAGATTGAAATATGAACCGGTATGTAACTCCTACATCCTCGTGCAATAATTTATAGTTATTTAGGTTTGGTTTTAAAAAACAAGTATTATTTATAAAATAAGAATTTAACATAAAGTTTTATTATAATAATGTGCTTCGATAATAATAACGATAAACAATGAGTATCGATATATTGTCAAATAAATCTAAAAAAAAAGTTCATTGTAGACATTTCTATAAATAATAATTACACATTAAAAAAAAAAAAAAAATTTATTTTCTAAAGAAGATCCAATGATAAAATATTTAAGAGAATAGATAAAGTTTTAATAAAGAATTATTTCCACAACTTCATGCTCAAAAAACCGGCAACAATAGCCATACAACCGCCACATCTTAAAACGAACCCGATAGAATCAGCACCAGCATTTAAATCACTATGAGAATGAGAAGAATCATTTATAGTACTAGAAGTAGGATTTTCTAATAATGCAAAAGCTACACTACTAAAAAAAGTAGCGATAAATTGAGGTATAACAATATAAATATTATGAATTCCCAATAATGTTCCAGTATCAGAACCATTATCATTATTATTACTATGTATAGATGATCTAGATCTTCTAATAGGAGAAGAAGAATCATCTAAACAATGATCTAAAAATGGAAGATCATCGATGATATTATTATCATCATCATCAGCAACAGAAATTTCGCGAAAAGTATCTAATTCATCATATTCAGTAGTAGAATCATCATCAGGTCTATGAACTTGAGGAGAAACTAATCTTGTTAAAGAAAGATTTCTAGAAGTAGATGTAGTTGAAGGATTACAACTACCAGAAATTTTAGAACGTTTTGAAGCAAATTCGCCAATAATGGAAAAAGGAGCCCACATAGCAACAGCCCAAGAAATACCACATAAAGCAATTATAAAATTGGCTTGAACGGGAATAGTAACATACCAAGTAGCTAACATAGCAAAAGCAAAAATAAAATGGGATAAAGTCCATAATTTTGGTAAAGATAAAAAAACCAAAGGTAATCTCAAAAATTGATCCCAAGCAAATTTTAAGGGAATAGATATAGAAGAAGAAGAGACAAGAAAAGGGAGGATAAAGGAAGCAGTCATACTTACAATAGAAAACAATAATAAAGAAAAAGAACCAGCTCTTTCACCATCATCTTTTATAACAGATGGAGGTAGGTTCGAATTTTGAGAATGAATATAAAGTTCAGCTACCCAGGTAGTCGAATAAAATAAGAAAGGGAACCAACCCATCCAAGCGAATAGTTGGACATTGCAAAGTAGCTGAATTTGTTTTGGAAGAGAATGAAAAGATTTTGCAATCGAATAAGATACTTCAATAATAGAATTCCATATTGACGTCGAAGTGCTATTAATTGTATATAATATAAATAGTATAAAGATTGTTAAAGTTTATTGTAAAATATTATAAATAATAATATTATAATAAATATTAAGCATAAATAGTATTGTACCTTGAACCGTCTTTATAAACTTTTTCAGAAATAGCCCAACAAGTAAATATGTCAGAAAGAATTAATATTATACTTGCAAGAACACATAGTACTTGCAATTGAGTATTGCCCAAGAATGGAAAAAAGTGCACCAAATTAATATATCCCCTAAACAAATATTAAAATATATATGAATTTAAATAAAATATATATGAATTTTAAATAAAATATTGAATTTTTAAATAAAATATATATGAATTTTAAATAAAATATATATGAATTTTAAATAAAATATATATGAATTTAAATAAGATATATAAATTGAAGAATTACATACATAAAATAGCCTATAACACTTCCTATGCCCACCATTTTGCCAGCCCATGCAGTACCTTCCTCTTGTTGTGAAGGTGGTAAAGAATCAACAATTAAAGCACGACAACCCGCCATTACTGATAGAAAGAAAATAAATATAAATAATATATAAAAGGATAAAATAAAATAAAATTATATGTATAAAAAGTCGAGCATTACCAGCATTAACGGCAAAATCAAGAACATAAAGAGAAAAAACAGCTAACCACATAGCTACAATATCAGCCTAAAAAAAAACAATAATAATTTTAATAAGTAATAATTTATAAAATACCCAAGAAAATTTTACAACATACCGTTTCTTTATTGAAAAAACAATTTACAATTTCTTTTGTCCAACCAATAGATATGAAAGAGGCAACAACAGCAAGACTACCTACAACAACGTAAGGCCTCCGACGACCAAACCTTGAAGTTGAATTATCTGAAAGAGCGCCAACTAGAGGTTGTACAAGAAGGCCTTTAAAATGATGAAAATTATAGGAGAAAAAAAAAAAAAAGGACAATTAGACAAAAATACCGAAAAATAACTTGCATTATATAATAGAAGAGAGTAAAACATACCTGCCAACGGACCAGCAAGCCATACAAGAGACATGAGAGATTTTGAAAGGCCCAGACCAAGCAAATATGGAGTTCCTTTTTATATATGTATGTATAAGGAGATAAATATTTATACAAGATAAATGATAATCAAAACAAGAAATGGAAGACATACCATAAGCCAACTCTACCGACCCTTAAAAAATTATGTATATGTTTAGAAAAGATAAAACAAGACTAATCGAGTATCAAACAGAAGCATAGAAAGTTTACCTACAAGTAAATTGCACGCTATTTAAAAAGACAAGGCATTGATTAAGTTATTTGAAAAAATCAAAAATTAAGTTATAAAAGAAACAAAATGACTCACGCAGCAATATTTTGAGTCAACAATATCATTTTAATCGTTCTACCTCTGCCTTTTATTCTAGAATTTTTTAAATCACCATTTGATTGATGATGTAAATGATTTTGTATGTGCTCACTACTGGTTATGTCAATGCTGCTGGTATTATTTACAGCATTGGATGGATTTAATTCAAGAGATTCATCTTCTTGACCTATTATTCTTGACGAAATACCTGCAGTTGATGATGATGATGAACGTGGAGATTTTTCAAACATTTTATAAATCAAATAAATCAAGGAAAAATTAATTGTTTTAGTTTTTGTGCACCTTTTATAGAATAAACGTGGCAGTACTCCCGTATTTACGTAATAATGACATATAAAGTTACTGTAGATCTAATAATGTGTGTAGTGTGACACTACAAAAACCACTAAGATGTCGACTTTTAATCTTCTAATTTGCAAATTAAGAAATACAGAAATAACGATAGAGAAATTAATTTGATTAATATGCCAAAGTTGGTCTTTTAATATATTTTTTTCTAATTACAATTAACGATAACGATGTTACTCTAACTAATTTTTATGTTATCGGGAAAAGAAATTATTTATTAATTTTTCATATTGGGTGACGCTTACTACCGGATATCCGGATATCCGGATAAGGGTTTAGCTAACGGATAAGTAATCCGGATAAGTAAAATTGTAACGGATAAATTATCCGGATTATCCGGATATCCGGTTATCCATTAATAATTTAATACTGGGCCAACTAATCCTTAATGCCGAGCCTAACTAATTCTTAATGCCGGCCTAACTGATTCTTAATGCCGGCCTAACTGATCCTTAATGCCGGCCTAACTAACTCTTAATGCCTAATTAATTTTTAATACCGGCCAAACTAACTCTTAATGCCTGGCCTAATTAATTAATTTTTAATGCCGGCCAAACTAATTCTTAATGTTGGCCTGCTTTAGCCGCATTAGCCAGCCGACCATATTTTATCAGCTGGCTTAACCGGCTTAAAACACTAATATAAATATAGACACGCGTACGGACACATCCAAATTGCGTTTCTGATGTGAATTTCATAATTATTATTTTGGTGCATCAAAAAGGTATCTTTTTTTTGAGCCTAATGCATCAAAAAACGTAAATTTTGTATTACATACCGAATAATATAGGGTCCTCCGCTTCGCTTCGGACAATTAAGTATAACGGTAAACAATTGGTTGTATATAATTTAACGGACCATGATTTTAAATTTCTCCGGGTTTCTTATATGTTAAAATTTAAATAAGATTAATATTAATATTAACTACAAATTTTTTAAATTTTAGTTAGTAAAATTATTTTAAAATGTTTAAATATTTAAAATCGGCAAAATCTAAAAAATTATGCGGCAAAATCTTAAATATATGAAAATATATGATTTAATAAAATTTAAAAATAAGTAATTAAGAAACTATCTAGTAATATTAATATATTTAAAGTAGGATTTTCTTTAAAGAGTCTTACATATTAATAATTCTTAAATATTTTATTATCCAAATAGATACGGATATACGGATTATCCGGATTAAAACAGATAACGGATAAGTAAATAGGCTATCCGGATGAGTTAAACGGATATCCGGATGATTATAATTTAAACGGATATAGATAACGGATAAGCAACTGCTTAACGGATATGGATAACGGATAAGGACATGGGATATCCGGATAAGCTAAACGGATATCCGGATTATCCGGATCCAAGCACTAGGACAGTCCATGTCCATGGACAACCAAAAATTATGTCCATAAGAATGTCTATGTCCAAGATAATATGAGCTACCGTTAGTAGAAATAAAAATCGTTAATAGTTTCTACATAGTGAAGTCAAAATTTTACTATACAAGTCGATATTAATGTATTAAGTAAAGTTGTTCAGGAGGTCAAACTACATGTATTATAAAGTTTCACATTAATTTGATAACTTTTTATTAATACATTTTTGCATATTACGATTGGGCGAACAAAATTTTAACCTTTTTTAAAAATTTTCGCCTAAACGTAATATGCAAAAACGTATTAATAAAAATAATGTGAAACTTTCATGATATATGTATTTTAATCTCCCGAATAACTTTATTTAATGCATAAATATTGATTTGTATAGTAAAATATTGACTTTACTATATAGAAACTATTGACGAACCTGAAATAGGACAAATGTAGTCTAAGAAGTATTGCGTACTATAACAAGTAAAAAAATTTTATTTTATTTTAGCCAATCATAATTATTTTAATCATGTGATTATGGACACGGACTTTGTCCAATAATTTTAATGGACTTATGTACATCACTGTGATATATTATCATTCATTACCCCGCAGTCCACATTTTGTAGCAATATATAATTTATCTACCAAAATTTGCTTTTAGATATTTCCTTCATTAGCATATTGTAAAACTATATTATAATATCCATTACCGTCTATTTGTATTATAATAAATTCTTAGTATAATTGTGTTTTAAATATAAAGTCAATTCTTCCTATACCGAATCTCCGGAGCGTATTAAGAAAATTTTGTTTGCAAAAAGTACTTGATATAATACGAAGTTTTAAAATAAAATTTATAATTTATAATTCGGTTTAGACAAAGTCTAATAAACATTCAATTTGTCCAGGTTCAATTTAGAGGGAGTTGACAGTATTTAAAAATATAAGAGAGATATACCTTTAGTGACTCCATAGAATGTAATAATATTTGGATGGTAACCAACTCTTCTTAATA